TCTACCCAAGGTACATATACACCAAGTATCAAAGCATTCAGACTTGTAATTTTCAAGAAGAAGTCAAAAAAGTTCAGACAGATGATAGACAATGACACATATGATAAGCTCCGCTCGACAAAGTCAACAGTAGAGCTAAAAAATGGTTCACACGTGTTGAAGGCTTCTATAACTGTATAATACCTAAAATTCTATAGCATACCTTTTCAAATAACTTTTTCAACAATAAACAAATTATATTCTCTCAATTGGTAATTCAACTCTAAGGCTAAACAATTTTGCGTTTTTTCTTTCATTTTTGCACTATTTTAGCAGGAACCAGAAAACAAAATGAGTGAATGCTGATCAGAAACCATCATCTAATAGAGGGTCTAATAGAGGTGCACAAAATCCATGTTTATAATTATTTTGATGAGAATGGGATTTGTTAATGCATTTTTTTTAATGTAGGTTTTTTAAGGCAAATTGAGGCAGATTGAATACTATATGTTTTGTTTATATTCCCTAAGAAGGGGGAATATAACCAAAAAAGGAAATATTGTCAAAAAAAAGAAGTGATGTCAGAGATGCAAGTGATGTCAATAAAACCAAGTGATGTCTGAAAAGACAGATCTCAGAAAAGGAAGCGATGTCAATAAAAAAGAAGAAATGTCTGAAATGGAAGTGGTGTCAGGGAAGAACAAAAATGTCAGAAAAGGAGGTGATGTCAGAAAAAAAAGTGATATCAAAGATGGGAGGGATGTCAGAATAGGAAGTAATGTCAGAAAAGGAAGTGATGTCAGAAAAGGGAAAGATCTCAGAAATGGAAGTGATGTGAGAAAAGGAAGTGATGTGAGAAAAGGAAGTGATGTCAGAAATGAAAGTGATGTCGGAAAAGGAAGTGATGTCGGAAATGGAAGTGATGTCAGAAAAAAAAGTGATGTCAGAAATGAAAGTGATGTCGGAAAAGAAAGTGATGTCGGAAAAGGAAGTGATGTCGGAAAAGGAAGTGATGTCGGAAAAGGAAGTGATGTCTGAAATGGAAGTGATGTCAGAAATGGAAGTGATGTCAGAAATGGAAGTGATGTCAGAAAAGGAAGTGATGTCGGAAATGGAAGTGATGTCAGAAATGGAAGTGATGTCGGAAATGGAAGTGATGTCAGAAATGGAAGTGATGTTAGAAAAGGAAGTGATGTCAGAAAAGGACGTGATGTCAGAAATGGAAGTGATGTCAGAAATGGAAGTGATGTGAGAAAAGGAAGTGATGTCAGAAATGGAAGTGATGTCAGAAAAGGTAGTGATGTCAGAAAAAGAAGTGATGTCAGAAAAGGACGTGATGTCAGAAAAGGACGTGATGTCAGAAAAGGATGTGATGTCAGAAAAGGACGTGATGTCAGAAAAGGACGTGATGTCAGAAAAGGACGTGATGTCAGAAAAGGACGTGATGTCAGAAATGGAAGGGATGTCAGAAATGAAAGTGATGTCAGAAATGAAGTGATCTCAGAAATGGAAGTGATGTTAGAAAAGAAAGTGAAGTCAGAAAAGGAAGAGATGTTAGAAAAGGAAGTGATCTCAGAAAAGGAAGTGATGTCAGAAAAGGAAGTGATGTCAGAAATGGAAGTGATGTTAGAAAAGGAAGTGAAGTCAGAAAAGGAAGAGATGTTAGAAAAGGAAGTGATGTCAGAAAAGGAAGTGTTGTCAGAAAAGAAAGTGATGTCAGAAAAGAAAGTGATGTCAAAAAAGGAAGTGATGTTAGAAAAGGAAGTGATGTCAGAAAAGGAAGTGATGTTAGAAAAGGAAGTGATGTCAGAAAAGGAAGTGATGTCAAAAATGGAAGTGATGTCAGAAATGGAAGTGATGTTGGAAAAGGAAGTGAAGTCAGAAAAAAGGAAGTGATGTCAGGAAT